TAATATTTCTCAGGACGACTGTCCCCGACGATAAATCGGGTCGGGCTGCGTCGGCCGACGCTATCTGAGTTGGCCTTAAGACACACCATAAAACAGTCCCCATGAATATGCACTCCACTAAGCCTTCAAAATTGATATACGTCACTTCTAAGTCGTGCCATTTCCGGCAATTTAGAGGTGCCATAATCATAAACTGTCTCAGACCTCAGCCCCATCCCGGGGTGGGGCTAAGGTAGTATAGACCATCCATTTGTGAAAGTCCCTCTCTGGGCCCCCTCCATTTGAAATTCCTGGATCCGCCACTGGTCTTCCGGAAGTCAGTGCCAACGAGTACGGTATCACCATCCACAACAGTATATATTTACATGTGTTAAGAACAGGCGCGGATCCAGATATGTCCAAAAGCGGGACCAAAAGTGGGTTCGATCAAGATAACAACACACTAGTGGGTTCGGAGGCACTCCCTGCGAAATTTTTGTTTTCCTGACGCCCGAAAATAAACTCTGAGGCGTTTTTGGCGATAATGTTTTATTTTTCTTTCTTTTTTCTTTTATTTTACAAATGTCGGGGGCCCTAAATCTGCCCCTGAAGAATGCATTTAAACATTCTGAATGTGGAACCCTGCAAAAATAACAACCAATTAGAGCCTTTTGGGGTGCCAAATGTCAATTTTTCTTTCGTGCCCCGACCAGCGGTACCAACAGTGTCTTCAACAGGCAGTCAAAGGGAGTCCAAAATTCATCAAGCCCCCTCGTGTTTGGAGCAAATTTTACGAATATACAAGAGATCAGGCTCACATTCTTTACATTCTTTAAAAGATGACTATGTTAAGGCATAGATTTTATCAAATAATAAACACCAAATACCCCACCACTTTGTGAGGACATATCAGTTGCATGAAATGTATATATGGCCAGATAGAATCTGTGACAATACGATAGGTCTCTGTGGTCTAGAGGTCTGTGACTCTTTAGTGGAGTAACACCCCTACTCCACAACGCATAGTTCGTTTAGGGAGGGGTAAGCGGGTCATTCAAACTTAGTGGAGGGATATCCTAACCCAATGATGTGATAGTTACCATTATATTGTATTTTTTGTTTCATTGTGTTTGTTTGGATATTGGCCCAAGATGGCACTTGCAGCAATAAATTGAATTGATTTGACTACCTAAAGTTCTTTATAGCCTTACCACATCCCCACTTTGAAAGGGTATGTATCAGTGCATCTGACCTGATAGAATCTGTGACAGGTCTCTGTGGTCTAGAGGTATGACGATCGCCTTGTCTTCATCAGGGACGTAGCCAGGATTTTGAAAGGGGGAGGGAGCCGTTCTGCAAATTACGTAGGACCCCGGCGGGGTCAAGGAGGCGAATCCCCCTGTGTGTGAAGTAGCGCACTCTGAACGTTGTTAGGACTGTTTGAGAGGATAAATTGAAAATTGCAATAGACGCATTATAAATAAGCGCAAAAATAATTAATAGTACTAGAAAATTGTATTGTACTAGACAATAATGCTAGTACTAGAAAATTGACAGCTCCCGAAACTGGTCTATCCTATTGTTTAAAGAAGCGTTCGCTATACGTAGACTACACCCTTTGCTTAACAATGGGCTCAGAGCTTCAAAAGAGCTTTCTTTGTTTTTGTAGGTATCTTTGATC